CACCCCTTTGCCCTCGGTAATGTTTTGCCCCTTGCCCCACTCGTGGCATCAGGGGCCCTCCTCTGACTCGGCAAACATCAAGGACGAATGCCAGAATTTGCCCTGACAATATATCAATTTGGGGGAGATAAAAGTTTTACGGTTTTGGACTTAATTAAATGACCGTGTCTTCAGTGTAGTAATAAATATTTATTTTTTACGGTGGAAGTACTTTTGCTTCTAGATGGTCTGGACGGTCATTGGTCATGTGGGGCTGGGATGGGTGGGACTCCATTGAGTCCTTATATGACTTTTCATTACAGGGTTGTTAGTTTTTACAACAACGGTTATGCCATCGCGAATGTTATTAAAATTAATATCAAGACTGTCATGAACGTTACTAACTTTTTCAACAGTGAGGCAACCCTCCCTGACCCTTATTGGCAAGTCAAGCAGGAGCGGGACATAGGAATAAGAGGGTGGTCCACATTACCCCGTATGGTCCATATTAGCCTGTTTTACGGTACCCTAAACGAGAGTTTTATCGGACCAACTCTACGTGTGTCTGTCGTTGATTTTCTTTCAGCCGTCATTTTATTCCGGTGTAGAGGAACACTGAGGGTCGTCCATGGAGTTACGTAGTTTCTATTCTACATCCATGGGGCCGTCACCGCCTCGCCGTGTGGGCGATGGGTGGCCTAGCCTCCCGGCGCTGTACGTCTGCTCGTCTGCGGGTAGGGGGCGGATCCTGAGGGGGGGGGGCACATTCCAGCAAGGTCTCTTCTGTGTGTGTATCGCCGAATACCACGCTGGAAGAGGGGAGAAGCACGTTCCATTATTCTGTCGCGAAGCTGGCAGCGGAGAGGAAAATCTAAGGGGTGCGTTCATAAATTACTAAAGGGTCGCGTGAATGGCGGGGAAGGGAGGGGCGAGGGGGTATTCACTTCGGATTTTCGTGTACAGACTACTCCGTATTACGGGTATTACGAGTATTACCGAGTATTACTGGGTATTACAGGGTATTACCAGGTATTACCGAGTATTACCAGGTATTACCAAGTATTACAGCGAATTACCAGGTATTACCAAGTATTACAGCGTATTACCTGGTATTACCAAGTATTACTGATCATCTGAAAAAGGTTTTTTCGGAAGCGTACATACATACATAATTGCTTATAATTTAAAGCAGTCGGTAATTTGACCTTAGCTCAGAATATTAGTTTGCCTTGCCTATATTTATTAAGTTAAAAGATCATCAATGATCACGTCCAGGTTTTTGGCTCATATTTCTTTTTAGCTTGACAACATTAGAAAGTGACTAGCTATTGCCAGCTCATTGACAGTTTGTGCCCCTGACAGCTGGTGCCCCACTCTCCCTTACACAGTTCCGTTTTCAGAGTAAGAACTGAGCCTTAACACCGGTGTAGAAAAGAACGACCTAGCCGCGAGCCTACACTGCGAAATTCTTACAAAGAATTTTAAAGCATTGTAAGGAAGTTTGCATTGCAAACTATTTTATTCGTAAGTTGCGAAGAAACGGTTCGCAAGGTTAGGAACTAATTCTTCGCAGCGTTATTAACTATTTTCTTCGTAAGGTGCAAATAATTAGTTTGCAATGCGAAGGATCTCAATGCAAAGCATTTTACAACGATTCGAATTTCTTTTCAAGCTTTTTACAGTGTAGCTGTAAGGCTAATATCTTAGCTCTTTTTGCTTATAATTAGCTAATCGAGCTTATATTCTGAGCTATTGCAAAATTAGCAAAAACATTCAGCTATTTTAGGTAATTCTTTGTGTGTATGTGTGTGTTTGTGTTTGTGTGTGTGTGTCAGAAAACCTGCCATCTTCGTAAAGTGCAACATCTTTCAGAATTGATTACATTTTGAAACTGTCACATTGGTAAACACATGATGTCACATTTGTTTCGACTCGAGTCAACCAGGCTTAGCTGAATGAACGCACAAGAATTGAATGACAGTGATTATTCTTGATTGGTTTTGAACGAAACACGTTTTGTATCAACTACTACTTTCATCGATGTTTCGGCTTCATTTTGCTAATGTCCATTGGTCGCCCAGAAAGAAATCTATATGTCCCGTCTTATCATCTATTGCAGTTTTGTAGGACAACTGATTTTGTAACGTTCTGGCTAAGTGAGGTTCAGCAGTGGTACACATTATTGCAGGGTATTGCAGGGTATTACAGCGTATTACCGGGTATTACTGCGTATTACCAGGTATTACTGCGTATTACCAGGTATTACTGCGTATTACAAGGTATTACCGGGTATTACTGAGTATTACAGGGTATTACAGTCATCGTGTACAGGGTATTACTGAAGTGAATACCCCCTCGGGGAGGGGGCGAGAAGGATAAGAGGATCACACCGCCGACCGCGGAAAATGGGGCAGCCGGGAGTAAAAAAGGGCTGTTTGATTTTAGACTGCGTGAAAAGGGCGGCACTTGGGGCAATAAACGAATTCGTCGACAGGGAGCTGCAGGGACGCCAATATGCACCCTCGCCCCCACTCCCTGCTCGTTGAGCTTCGCGTGACATGTCTGCGTCTCCTGCCCTCCCGCCAGGACGCTTGAGTAATGCCTCGTCCCTTTTGCCGTCTCCGGCCCGGAGGAGACTCTGTCTGACGGTTGAATTCAAATTGATTTAAGTTGCGCGTGCCCGGGGACAGTATTCTTCGCTGCTCGCATCAGTCAGCGGCGGCGACGAGGCGGTGGCGCCGGCGGCATCCAAGTTGAGACTCGCGCGTAAGACACTGCGAGGAATTCAGATCCAGCAGCTACCGAGCTTGGCGTTACCCCAGTTAACCCTTGCCCGCACCCTTTTACAGCCTCCCCCCTGCCCCGCACCCTCCCCCTATCGTCACTTTGGTCCCCACATAATCAGCGTTTAAAACTCGCGCCTTCACTGTGTTACCAAAAGGAGGTGCCTCGTGTATACTGTACCGAAAATTCTCTTCTCTGCACCACGTTTGCACCCCCATGCCTATTTACAGAACTGTTCGCTGCTGCTGCTCGTCTTCCCTTCCAAAACATGTACCCCCCCCCCCTCACTTTACCCCCGGTCTCCCTTATCTGCACGGGAGAGGCCTGCGGGGACTGCTCTCAGCTTGAGGGCTTTTGAGACCAAGGCAAAGCGGTTCTCGCCGAATCTAGGCAGAGGGGATGGTGGAGAAGGGGATGGGGGGATGTGCCCTGGAATTCACAGCACCGCGAGCGTCGGGCTCCGCTTCCATACTCTCTGGAGGCCAACACAGCACGTACACACGGCTCTGCACTACTTCGCACGATTGGGTGGTTTTTGTTATGATATTGTTACTGTCATCTTTGTAATTTGTATTTGGGGAGGGCGAAGGGGTGGGAATGAGGACTAGTCCCAACTCACCTGGTCGAGGCGGATGTTGTCGACGGTGAAGTGGAACCAAATCCTGAAGCGGGGGTTGCAGGTGTCTGGGCGGATGAACAGGTCGTACTCGTACTCGTTAATCAGGTCCACGCGGCCGAGATTACCTGTGGGCAGAGAGAATATTCCGAGTCGAAGTGAAACGTTCGTAAACTATGACATCGCGCCTTTGAACCTGCAGAGGCCACGTTCTCACCCGTCTCGAAGGCCGCGTCGAAGCAGAGGTGACCCTTCTTGGCCTTGCCGCTGTGGCCGGGTGGGCGCATCACCACCCGCGACACGTTGCCGAGCCCGCCCTCGCTCTCGCTGTCGTCGCTGTCTGGAAATGTAGAGTAAAGTAACAATAGCATGTATGTGCGCTGTGCAGGTGAAGTGTGAGATCCATGCCTTCGCCCACTTTCAGGAACTCTCATACGCCCACCCCGACTTAAGTCAGATTAGTAAGATCTACTAACCACGTCATGTCAAAAGAACTCCGAAGAAAATGTTTTCCTTCACTGCAAATTAGCGGCGAGTTACGAGCTGCCGCCATTACTACATCTGTCGGGCGATATGATGATGTAGAGCATAATTGCAACGTTGCGAACCCTCGCGGGGCGGGCGCCACCTCCCCGCTGCCCCCCTGCGCCGCTCCCTAACCCCCTCTCTATGCGGCCCCCCTTGGCGGCGCTCGCTGCCACGGCAGCTCGACGAGCATCAAGATTTGCTCATTTGCTCCTGAAGTGAGTTGGAGTGTGTTATCAAGCAGGACAGCTGTTGCGTTCCGGCCGTCCCGTCCAGCTCTCTCGGTGGCGCCGCCTCCGCCTCGCCTCGCCCCGGGGAAGGGAAGCCCCCC